TCAACAAATTGCAGCTTCCTGCAATAACACCAGCAGAACTGCAAAAAAACTGCTACTTGGAAAATTGTACATCTTGAAAAGGTACTTGGTTGATACCTAGGACGCTGGCAGCAATCAGTATCAACCATTAGTACCAGTCAAGGGTATTTGTGATGCGTTTTTGAATGTTCAGTTGACTGAGTTTCATGTTTAGTGGATAAAGTATAAGAGTAGTAATAATAATAATCTCCGATGTTACCTTAACAGTTCCTAGGTCCTTGGTTAGGACTCGGGCTGTTGAGCTACCAACCAGCCCCAAAGGCTGTGAATCTCACCAAAGATTAAACACATAATAATAATAATGCTTTTAAGAAGGTACTTGGTTAATACCTAAGACGCTAGCAGCAACCCATATCAACCATTAGCACCAGGCAATGGTATTTGTGATGCATTTTTGAATGTTCAATTCAAATGCAATAGGATTTGCACAACCCAAGACCTCTTCCATTTATGGCAAAAAAAACTTTGAGTCGGAGAACCTCGGGTTAATTAGAAAGGAATAGCTTTTTAAGACATTTTGGGATGGGTTTCAAATTGTAGATTATTACTATAGCCTGGCAAGGTGCTGTCAATTGGCCTGGCCCAGAGTTGTGTTTTCGATAGCAGGACTGAAGTGTCGTAAATCAACAGCTTTTGCAGAATAATTAACATTTTTTTTCTCCTTCCTTTCGATGTTTCTTGTGCAGATTAAATTGTACACCAAGCACGGCACTCTAAAGTATCAAACTGACTGCGCTCCAAATAATGGTTACTTTATGATTCCTCTGTATGATAAGGTGAGAGGCTATGTAATAATTTAAATTAGGTGGGTAATTATGTGAGTACCTGGGGGTGGTGAAAATCCACTGTGAAATTCAGGAAAGCTAGATTTTTTTATTTTATTTAAGCAAAGGTTTCTCAAGGTAAATAATAAGGTTTCAAAATGGATTGAAATTTAGAGTTTATGATTGTAGCTAGGTCTATGACTGAGCAGGGGCTCCGATAGGAATTTTCTTTGCCCCTGTCCAAAATCTTAAACACAGTATTTCCTCTCTGTATTTATTGAACCACAATACAGTATAACTACATTTTTTTTCCTGTTCTTCTTTGTGTAGGGGGATTTTGTCCTTAAAATTGAGCCTCCCCTAGGGTGGAGCTTTGGTAAGTTGCTATTTTTATAGAAAACGTTCCAGTTGATTTGAAGCTTATCACAGTTGTGTATTTGTTTACGTTGTATAAATTATGTTGTAATAAACATAGTTGTGCATTATAGTTGTTGTCTATTGAAGCCCGTCCCAAGACGACTTTCTGATCTGCCCAATACCTGAAGTCTAAATCATTTACAATCTTTTATTTAATTTTTCAAGGGCTGGGAATTGTGTATTCACACTTCATTGAAAGAGTAGAAAAATAGGGACAACCTTTGGTGGGAAGGGAACAGTGTTCCGTGCCCCTTCGGCGTTGAGTCATGCCGGCCACATGACCACGAAGATGTCTTNTAAACAGCACTGTAGATTTGTGGAACCTCTTCTATAGGAGAGGTTAGAACTGGTAGAAACCCACCCCTGATCCTGAGTCACCTGTACGGAAAATGAGCAGCTATATACATTTGACAAGTAAATAAAACACCCGATTCAAAACAAAAATGAAGTAAGTCTTACAAATGCCATTGGATTATTAATTTAAACTCTTGTGCAAACATAACTAGTAAGTTCAATAGGATTAAGACAAATATTTTATTTTATAAATACACACACACACACACGCTCTGCATGTAATCTCATCCTTCATTTAAAACTAATATAAAACTGTTACCAAAGTCACCTGCGTAATGGTAGAAATGTAGATGGCATACGGTAAATGCAGTTTGAATTTCAAGACTTGTAAAATGTATGCTTATTTAAACATACATCCAAATACATATATATATGAATCTAGCAGTTGTCTCATTATTCAACTCCAAGGACTAGCATTTGTTGAAACATAAAATAATAGAGTTGGAAGGGACCTCGGAAGTCTTCTAGTCCTACCCACTGCTCAAGCGGGAGTCCCTATCAGATAAATGGTTTTCCAGTTTCTCTTTGAAAGCCTCCAGTGATGGCACACCCCCAATATTCCATTGGCTGTTCCTTCCATTTAAAGCTTTAACTCCTTTCTAGCCACCTGCACACATTGTACAGCAGAACCTAATGCAACCCATGCTTGTTACCACACGTTCTCCAGCCACTCCTTCCTCTTGCTGACACTGTGCTCTTATGGCTTCTTTCCCCTTAAATAAACACTTGTGTTTGTGTTTAAATGTAGCATATTTTGCCTTGGGATTCAAACAATGGGCCGACCTCTTTCAGCCAAGAGAATGCTGCAATAGCAGAAGCAGCTTTTATGGCCAAAGAACAATTAGTGTGTGTTTAGATGTGCAGGCACGCATTAGAACTACCATACCCAGGCTGCAGATAGTCAGGTGACCACTAGATGTAACAAACGGATGCTCTAATTCTTTCTAGCACCCCATCTACTGGGACTTTTAAAAGTTTCCAGCCCAGTTTCAGTAGCCTTCGCGCGCGCACACACAGGGATGTAGATTTTATGGGGAAGGGGAAAAAAAATAAAAGGAAGACTCAGCAGAAAATGTATCGATAGAAACTGGATTGATTGAAGGCAGGGTTTTCATTTGACTCAGCATTACACAACTCCAGGCCCAGAATATTTTCCTGGTGCCCAATCCAGCTTCAACATATATGAAATAAATATATGATTCCAAGCATACGCAGAGCGCATTTGTCTTCTACGCATAAAACCAGAGGCATGCATCAAATTCTAAATGTAACTTGCAGAGCCACTGGCACTTCACATTCCATCAATGAGAAAAGCCAATTTCTGGAACTGCTGAAGCAGACTAGAGGAAGATGTTTCTAGGGTTGAAAACAAATCTGAATGCAGCCAAAGAATAACATCCTTGTGTCGGTGATAGGACAGGGCTAGCAAGGCGCAGAAAGCTTATGCAGAGAATCCCAAAGGTGCTTTTTCAAAAGGCAACTAGGTTTTGTTTTTCCTTGAAGATGTTTTGCTTCTCATGCAAGAAACTTCTTCAATTTTGACTGAATGGTGGTGGATAGATAAAAAAGAAGCTTTTTGAATGAGAAGCAAAACATCTTCAAGGAACAACAAAATCCAGTTGCCTTTTGAAAAAGCATCTTTGGGACAACCATGAGCTTGGTGACCGAGAATCTCCATCAACACTTACACAGAGAAATTGTCCTGGTACCCCACAGGGACAAAAAAGGTAGGCATTTTTCACACCAAAGAGTGCTCCATATTTGCCATTGCTTCTTGTCCTGCCCTCAGGTGCCTTAGAGAATAGCTTGACTCTCTCTTCTTTGTGGCAGCCCCTGAAATATTGGAACACTGCTATCATGTCTTCCCCTAGTCCTTCTTTTCATCAAACTAGACTTATATTACATGTTGCTAGAACGTCTCCTCCATTGGACATAGAAGACATTTATTTACTTAGCCTGTCCTGGAAAGAGTATCAGTCAACTGAAGCTAACAGTTATAGAGCAACAATTGCTGAGAACCTTTAAAAAAATTAATCTAATCCAGATTTAGCACAGCAATGACTCAGCCACATTTGCTCTCTTGATAAGTGGTTATGGCAGCTTTCCTCAAACCTGCCATCCTCCCGCTGTCTTGGATTACAAGACACATTACTTCCAACTACCTTGGCCAATGGCTGGGTTGATAGGAGCTGCAATCCAGCACATCTGGAGAATGTCAGGATGGGGAAGACTGGCTTCTAGGCTGAGATTGAGGGACAAGAAAGGAAACTAGCACAGCGCACTAACATTTAGCATCTACTGTGTTTTCCCGAAAGTAAGACAGGGTCTTATTTTCTTTTGACCCTTGAAATAAGCACTTTGCCTTATTATTTTTGAGGTGCAGGAGGCAGTGAGCGTGGTCACCTCATGGCTGCTGCTGTATTGCAATATTTTCGGGTGAGAGTTTATTTTAGGACGTGCGCTCAAAAGCCCGATTGGGCTTATTATCCGGGGAGGTCTTGTTTTGGGGAAAACAGGGTACACTTGTGCATTAAAAGCTTGGATGAGAAGCTGAATAGCCTCACAGAACAAAACAGGAACTGTGCTTTATCCAGGGCAGTTGGAGAAATTAGATTGTAGGCAGCTCCTGCAGAGGTTGAAATTGGATGTTGGTTAGTCAAAAAGCCCAGTAACTGGATATCAACACCATACTAAAACCATGTTATGTTAAACTATAATTAAACTACAATTGTTTGAGTTTGCACACCACCCTGAAGTTGATTCTTTTTTTAACCGCAGTAACCCAGCCTACTTGTTTAGCCTAACCAGAGGTGGGTTCCTACCGGTTCGCACCAGTTCAGTAGAACCGGTTCGTCAAATCTACCAAACCGGTTAGAAGAGGTTCCACCAGTGGACCCAGAAAGCAGGCCACACCTACAGAAGAGGTTCCAAAAAATTTTGAAACTCACCACTGCCACACACACACACACACACACACAGACAGGCAGACAGACTGACACAGAGAGAGAGAGAGAAAGAGAAAGAAAGGAAGA